TAACCGATGATTGATTAACAACTTCTTGAGCTGCAACCTCTCTAGTTGAAAGTCCCATTTGATGAAGAGTATAGATACGAGATCATTTTTCTATTGATATTCGAGGCATTGAAAGTAAAAATATCAGTTATGAATTCTTTCTTATATTTTAATAAATGTAAATTTACGCAGTCTTTTGTTAAAAATCAGTAAAAAGAAATGCATCACTTAAAATATCATTATATTTATTTATTATATTTACATAAATATGTTTTTTTGTTAATTGCATACAAAAGCGAAGTTCGATCGATTAACAATTAAAATGAATCAATTTTTATTGTCGCACAATAACTAAAAATAAAAGATATTTATAATTTAATTTTTTTTCCAGGTGATGCTTTTTTTTGTGAGCCACGGTAAATATTAAATTTTAAAAACCCGAAAAAAAAAATTATTTTCAATTCTGTCATTAAAGTACAGGTTGGAACCGGACCATCGATCCTTCGGGTACAGTTTATTATAATATATATCTATATTTAATTAATTTTTAGCGTAGTAAGTAGTTAGCCATAGTAAATTAATTTGTATAAATAGAATAAGAAAATACTTAATTCTTTTTCTACCGCTATTGTTCCTTCCATTTCCTATTTTTCCATCATTTTCTTTTTCTATCATTCCACGTTTATTAGATTTTCTTTCAGTTCTGGTCATTAGGTATTCCTCCTTGTTCGTTTCTTCATTATGTAATTACGTATTCTTTTTGCGGTCATTCTTACAATAACTAGCTATGTGTCCCTTGTTGTTACAATTGTAACAAACAACATTTTCCCAAAAACGTTTTAATGTATGTCCCATTCCTCTACATGTTTCACACTTTCTATCTTTCTTTTCATAATTCATTTTCTTTGTATCATGTCTTTTTCTTCTTCTGTTTTCCTACATCTAGTCATCCAACATCATTTTCGTTTTATGCCCCATCTTTCAACAAGTTTGACAATTTCTTTTTGATCCAACTTTCTCATTTTCCTGAAAATTAATTTTGTGCTTGAGCATCTTGATTTAAAGACCAGAGAACTTTGATTGAATTTTTAACCTAGTTAAAGCTAGTGCCTGCCTGAAAAAAGTATTGCTATGCCTCTCGAGCAATATTCTTTCAATCAATAAACAAATTCTTTTTTCATAAAAATTTTTACATACTGCATGACCTACATATCTACAATAGTAAGATTTCTGGGCAATACCCGGAGGTTTTGACAGGCATCGAAATAAAAACCCGTCAAAACCGTCAAAATCCATCGATCGAAAAATCGAAAGTTTCGACTTTTGCCAAAATGGGATTTGGGTTTTTTATCACAAAATTTGACAGTAGAGAAGACAAAATTAAAAAGTACTTTTTTTTTTAAAAAAAAAAAAAAAAAAAAAAAAAAAAAAAGTAACTAATACAATACGTGTAAGAACTTTTTTAAAATAAAATATATTGCAATGGAAGGAGAATATGTTAAATAATCAAACTTAAATTTCTAATATTTTATTTATTAAAAATTATTTATGTACAGTATTATAAACCTAAAAAAAGTTTTATATGGGAGGGTTTCTAGGAAAATCAGGTTCCGAGAAATTTTTCACTTAAATTAAGAGCTTAATACATTTTAATCTAATAACATCAAAAACTAAAATGCAATAAAAATCTCAATTTTGTTAAAAAATTTCCAGAACCTGATTTTCCTAGCAATAAACCCATATGTAAAAATTTATCACGTGACTTGAGATTGGTATTTCAAATTAGTCTCGTCATTTCTTTCTTTCTCCAACTGATAAATTGGTTGGAACCGACCTAAAATAATTTTCAACCGGTTAATTAACTGGTTAAAATAAACTTTGAATTTTGGCCGGAGTTAATATCAACTATTTTACGGCCAACCTCTAATTACATTCACAAAATGGAATGGAAATGTTCATAAAAGCCAACCAATCACATCGTTACGATTATATAAAATTTAATATACTCTTTAGTTTTTTTTTTTTATATTCTTTTTATTTAATTTATTTTAAAATAAATAATCGATCGATGATTGATAATCGAAATGATATCCGAATTGATTTTCGATATTCGAAATAATTGATAATCGATATTCGAGTCGATCGAAATGAAATGATATCCAAATTGATTTTCGATATTCGAAAAAATTGATAATCAATATCTGAGTCGATCAAAATGAAATAATATCCGAACTGATATTCGATATTCGATATCCGAAATGAATTTCGATTGTCGAAATTGATTTCAATATTCGAATATTCTATTTTCAAACGGAAACCCTACATAGTCCATTTTCTTGTACTTTCTGCTGGAAATCTTTTGGTCGCTTTTTCTGCTTGATCCTTTTTTAATAGGGTTCTTCGTAATCATCAGTTCGCACGAACGGTATATTCTTGAAAACGATATAGAAAACATATGTACGTTATGATGAGCAACTTTTACAAGAATTACAAGACGAAAATTTCACTTTAAGAAATTGCCTTTGTCAAACTTGCCCTCTGACCCTTGCCCGTAATATCCCGAGCCATTAGGGACTTACATATATGACGTAATTATGGGTTAATATAGAACCGGACCCGGTGAGATTATTATATCACGTGATCATAAATTTCGGCGAATCATCAAAATATATACAAGTGAAATGAAATCAACCTCCAGGGTCATTTTATTTTATTAATACAGTATAAACAAAGTTAGTTAACATTTATACTACATACATACTAAGTAGTTTGAATTTGTCACACATAATCTAGTATATTTTTTCATGAGAACGCTGATTGTAAAGTTAATCATCATTGTGGTACTGATTAATGCATTTTTTGCCCTAGTGTACATTCTGACATTCACTTAGCTAGAGATTCTTCAACTTTCCTATACCTAAAAATTTTATTATCAAATTATTTAATAAAATAAATGCATGGCTTACCTTGCTTTTTTTACTTCATTGCTATTACCGAGCATTCATCATCTTTTATTCCTAGAATGATTTAATAAAATAATAAATTTGAGTGATATAACCTAACAGATTAAAATCACATTGTTCTTTCGCAACTGCACACACGTGACTTATCATCGAAATTTGACCATATGATTCTGTCACGTTTATAATGATCTGATCGCGTTTTTTATCACCACCTTGATTTTCTTGTCCAAACTTCCTTAACATGTAGGCTTTTCTAACTACACAAAAATATAACAAGTACTACATTTATAAAATCTCCACAAATCAACACTAGAGATTTTGTAATGCTTTTGAATATTATTATATAGTGAATACAAGAAATCCTGTATATCAAAAGTAAGTTTATATACAGAATGTACTGACGCATAGAAAGAGGTTCGGTATAAACCTCAAGAAGAAATTGAAAATAAAATTCAAAAATATATGGCAACAACAATTCTAATCCAAGGTTTTTTGCAAACTAATTGTGTATGACCCAGCCTATCTAAAATCTCAAAGTCCGTCCAAGCCACTCAGACCTTTCAACAACCAATAGAAAAGATGATCATAGCTAATACTAATCCACCTCTCAATGCAGCTGCACAAAAAAAAGTCTTAGAAACTATCAATGTAACTAACATAAAGCTTAAAGAACTTCAACGAATCTATAATTCTACTAATGATCTGAAAATTCAGAATAACTTAGTGAAACATATTATAAATCTTAAGAAAATTTTATGCAATGAGAATAATAAGATTAAAAATTAAAGCGTCAAGCAAGCTATCAACATAAAAGCAGAGAAAAAAAGTAAAGCTTCTACAAGAATATCAAGAAGTAATATAATATAAATCATCTAGTTATCCACCCCTTTTGATTAATATTCCAATTTGCATGAATATATACATGAATATATTGAGTTCAGAGCTGCAGATAAAAAAAGAAGAAAAGAAGTTATTAAAGTTAGAACCATCTGCCACCTCTAAGAAGAACTCAATTTATATATAATGAATACCTTTTTTACACCATCCTCAGTAATTACCTTCTGCTATCTCGATTAAATTCTATAGCTGCAAAGGTTCATCACTATCTAGCTAATATTGCCATTACCTCCATTTCTCAAGATAAAAAAAAGAATATTCTGATGAATACTATTGTCTTGTATCTGTAAAGGAGCAAACAATTTGCGGCTTTATTTTTGACTCATTCATTATCATTTCTCAGGATGATAAAGCCAAGATTACTCTTGATATCCCTGCAGTCAGAAAAACTTTTCAGATTATGTAGAGTTTTCGAGAACCAGTTACATTACCTAATCACAATTTTTCAATTGAAATGCAGCAAAAGCTTATTCCATCAGTTTACTTACTCATTAACCCAAATAATACAAATGATACTTTTTGTAATAGCTAACTTTTGATTTTCATACGTCCACAATACTAAGTTAGTACAAGCTCAATCTTTCATATTAATGATCTGATTTCGCTAACAAAAGATAGTCGTTTTGATGAGATACTAAAAGTTGTTGGTCAGATCAAACCCATTTTGATTCTTTTAGTTGACAGAGACCCAGATGAAAATCCCCGCCATATGAAAAATATTCTTCAATATTGTAAAATATTTTGTGTCTTTGATCTTGATTACTTTCTGTTTGAACGCATGCATCTAGTCAATTAGCATATAATCCAGTTGAGCGTAGTATAGTAATACTCTCTCAAAAACTAGCTGGATAATATTACCAATCGGTAAATACAGTTCTCATCTCAATTCTCAAAGTCAAGTAGTCAATTTAGAGCTTACAATGAAAAATATGCATTATGCTGATGAGGTTTTATGACTCTTTAAGAACGTGATCCTATCTTTGGAAAATCAGTCATAACACAATATATTAATCAAAAAAGTTCTTCATTCAGTAGTATATATTTCCCAGATGTAGCAGAGAAAATAATAATGATGAATCAGCTGTACTCTGGCAATGGCTAGAAAATCACACCAAAATATGTTTGACATTAAAAAATGTGAAAATTCTCTCTGTTACTTACTTAAACATCATGAAGAAGTGGCCATTCTTCTTGTAGAAAACAATGGATTTCTTCCATCTGTGACAAAAGGAAAAAATAGACACTTCTTAAATCCATTTTATATATTAGAATATTGCGATAAGCTCAAAATACCTGAATATGATGCCCAATATTCTTCTATTAATTTGAGTACTTATACTTGTTTCTGTTTCTCTGTTTGTAATGCATATTTTCTGATACTTTCTATCGTTGCCCTACATAAGAAAAATCAATATCCAAGATGACGAGAACGACCAATCAAACAAAAAAAGCAACTTACCAATTCTATTGACGATTTTTTAGTTGCATCTGCATTAGCTATACAAGTGCCAGCCCTACATAATCAGTAAATACAATCAGAAGGTGAGTAATTATAAAATGGTTGTAACAGGAAGTAAAAAGGTTACGGCAAAACTAGGGCAGATTTAAAGCAATATAAATAAAAACCATTGTTAAATTTTGCAATACATTAGATCAATAAACCATAATAAATACATAAATTGTAAAAAAAAAAAGCGTCATACTTTTCTCAAAACAATGAAAAAGTAAAGGATTTGTACTTTTTTGATGCTCATATATATTTAAAGTTTACGCAATGTAATGTAGATCATCATGTGATTTGCTTCTTTATTATGATTGGCTAATATAGAGGTGAGATTTTCGAGATCCCCCCCCCTCTATAATCACGTCATATACTGTATGTAAGTCGCCTGAACAAATTGTCCACATGCTAGTATTGTCCTCTGAACATATTGTCCTTACATAAAAAAAAAAAAATTCAACATTTAAACGATGAGTTTCTCTTGGGAATTAGATAGATCATTCTTTTATTATATACATAAAATATCTTTTCCCATTTCCTTTTTATTCTTTACGATTATTTTTTATTTCCCTCTCCGATAAATTTTTATTTTTATTATTTCTTTTGTTCTTAGTTAATTAGTTAGCATTTAACATTTGTATTGAATTGATTTATAAGGATTTTGATTAATTGGATTTTATTAAATTATACTTGGTTAATATTAAAACCTTCTGCCTATGTTTATAAATATAAATATAAACGTAAATAATTTATCGCAACACTACGTATGTAAGTATGATGACTAATATATGGTTATATCTCACGATACCATACATGTTTGCCTCCGAATCCGTTCGGCAGAAACAAATAAGCTACACGAAAAAATTTTTTTCTTTCTTTGAGAATTTTTATAAAAGCTTTAGATTCTTTTTGATTTCCTTTTTTTAAGACGATTAGAGAAGTTCTTTAATAAATAATTTTTACAGGAGTTTTTCATATAAAAAAATTTTTAATTTTTTTAGAGACTGCCTTTTAGGGAAGTTCCTCTTTAAGCAAGCTACACTTGACCATACTTTGCCATATTATACCATTTGAAAAACTAATAAATTAATTGCGAGACATGGGTCCTTCCTAAACCGCGATTCTGTCTAAGATGAAGGAGAAACGATATTTGGCGTCACGGCAATTTAATTTTTACTGGTATAAAACAAGGAACTGCGGCACTTGTCGGAAATTTATTTAAAAACAATACTTATTCTTTGACAATAATAGTAGACCTTTCTGATTACTTTCCTATGAAAAAATATAATTGAACAGTGAAATATCCACATTTTTGAGTGATTAACTACATAAATAGTGGTATTATAACTAATCCAATAGACGTACTACACCGAAATATTAGAAAAGCCACTTTCGGAAGTGCTGCGCTGTATTTTATGAGGCAGATGGCTGCTGCGACAGAACAATGATCCTAAGCATAATAGGATTATTGCTAAGAAATTCCTTGATATTAATGCCTTTGGGAAATTATTAAAAGGAATGCGGAGTTGCGTAAGCCAAAAAACTTGCCAAGTTTCGGTTACTGTAACAATTAGATAATATTAACCGTTATTAAACCGGTTAATATACGTCCGATTCCAAGCATTAAAAAATGCTCCACGAAAGTAGAAATCGAACATAGGGTTTCGACTATTGTCAATTGCTAAATGAGTTTTGTCCCGCAACTACTATAAACAACGCCATATTTCATTTGTAGAGCGAAAATTTCTCCATTTTGTCAAAAAGCATATAATATATCTTTAAAACATTATTGCTTAAAAATATATTTTTAATGATTTTATCGATATGTTAAATATTTTTATGGTGATGGAACCAAAACTTATTAAATTTCGATAAAAATAAAATTTGATCTTAATATTGTTCCAACCTTAGATCTTGATTGACATTTCAGGAAAAAATCCTGTTAATTTACTATGGTATTTACAATATATTAATTTTTCCTTTTTTTATTTTAAAAAAAAAATAAAGCATATTCATTCTGATTTCAGATGCATCTTAATTCTTAACGAAAAGAAATTAAATAATTTAGATTGATTTGAAAAGCAAACTGATGATATCTTCAATAAAAATGAAAAGAATTAGTCAATCAGCTAAGAGAATAAACATGTGGGATTATTATCTGCTTTACTGAAACAAAAATTTATTTGATAGAATTATGATTATATTCGTTCGAGAATATATTAAAGTAAGAATTATTTGTTATATATGAAATATCCAATGTTAATTCATATTAATTATATTGATTCTTTTTGTTGCATTAAAGAATTTTAATGTTTATGATTCTTATTATTCTTATTTAATTAGATATTTGAGCAAAAGTATCTTAAATCATCCAATTTCATAGATTATTTAAAAATAAGGATGTTGAAGTGGTTAAAAACAAATGCAAAATTTGTTTGGCAATATTATGTCGCTTCTAACAAGAAATTATTATATCTATGATATAAAAAATATGATTAAAATAAAAAGTAAAATATTTTTTTC